TGGTTTAGGCACTCGGCACCCGTGTCAAGCATAGTTTGATGGAGTCCCCTCTATCAGTCGCTTGTACAACGCAAACAAATTTGATGGTGGACGATAACAGCCCAGGTCACGCAATCACCGTACCTACACGTGGTAGAAATCTGTTTTCACACGCTCCCTCTGCAGTTGTTTGAGCAAAGTTGGTAGTCAGCATGATACAGTTACCAAAAAAAGGAGAGAAACGCTTCATCGTAGGGAGAGTTCTGTGCTGAAAAAGATCTGTGTGCACAATTAAAAGCATAATTTGCATTATTTGCTAGAGCAATTTCTCAATCAGCAAGTAATTCGCATCTGCCATACCCTGGTGAGGTGACCCTCACCTGAAATAATTACTTCAATCAATCAGAGAGTCAGTGAGGCAGTATGACGCTCCTCCGTTCTCAATAGCTCTGCCGCAACTGCCCTGGGTGATCAGCGATCAGCGGATGTACAGCCGTTGCACATTCACTAGTGCAGACAGCTTGCGTGGCCCAGATCGAAGTGGAAACAATAGTAAATACTTAGTCATGTTTACACCCGTTACCCCGGAATGCACCTCGTAGGCAGTGTAGCTGCAACTCAAATACTCATGCTTCTTACTGCCTCTGGCCATCTGGCTGTCCAAAGGACGCATGAAAGCAGTAAAGAAGCCGGTGCACAGCAGGTGTACAGGGTTTGGTGTACAGGTTGGTTGCAAGATACTGCAATCAAATCAATGGTCTGGTCAATGCTCAGTACCCAAATACTGCCACCAGTGTTACTGAGGGCTTCAAGCCGAGGGTGCCATACAGGGAAATGTTTCTTAAAGGGCTCATATTGTGAAAAACCAACTTTTCCTTCCTTTTTTGAAATAAAGGAGTTTGTAATATGTTATTTATAAACATTGCTAAAGTTTCAAAGCTTACGATTCAATACTCAGTCCATAAATGGAAACTATGAGGCAAAAACAACCTGTTTTGAGTTTGTTGTTTCTGCGATATCTGAGAACCGACTCATCTGTTAACTCATCTGTCCGCCTATTCCGTAGTTTAGCCCCGCCCATCCATACTGACATGTTTCAATGGTTTCTGAGCGAGACACATCATAGGGCAGCCAATTAAACAAAGCTTATTTATCTTACATTTTAAAGGCACAATAACTAAAACAGGCTATTTAATGTAAAGGGATGAAGAGAGGTTAAAAATGGTCATGTAAAAATGAATTATGACCATGTTTTGGTACATAAAACCACATGTAAGTGGACCTCAAGGGAAAAAGTAAAATACATATATAAAAAAAGAAATGTATGGTATGGGTATTTAAATGAATCGCTTCATTCATGCTTTAGATACAGTGTCAATAGCAATGCATCTTGGATTGTGTCACCCCTTCAGTGGACCCCTCTGTGTAAACGATCGATGGTTTAGTCCAGTCAGAGTCTGTAAGACGAATGGGACTTTCGTTTTTAATGAAAATAAAGATGATGAAAACATAAATCAGGCTTTCAAAAATGCCAGAGGAAAGAAACTCAAAAAAGGAACAGCGAATATGGGAAAGTCTGTATCACCCAGCTTTATCACAATATAGTGGAGCTGTTAACAGAAAGGAGGCTTATTCTGTAGGAACTGCAGTTGTGAATTGGAAATGATGCCCTTCTGCAGTTTTTTTTTAACCATAATAAATGAATATAGCAACATAATTTATGTTTTATATTAAGATATCATGTTTTCTCAACCACAGAAATGTAAGGGAAGGTGAAGTAGAAAATGGTTCATTGTCTGTTAGGGATGTGCATGGATACTCAACTACTCGAGTTGTTATGAAAAACTGGCATGTTTAATGTTCTGCTAAGACACATGTACGACCCCTGCATGAAAGTTTCAGGGGGCCCCAAATTTTCGCACTGTTCCCAGCAGCGCACATAAAACGGAGGAAAGCTAGGACGTTATAAAAAGGCTGAGGGCAGGGACAAAGTTGTGTCTTTCTGGGCCCCAGGGTGTCCATCTTTCATCTCGCAGCCACCCTGCTAATGCTTTTGAGAAGGAGCTGATATCCTTGACATCTGCTCAACTCACCCCGGGAGCCTGGCCGCTGTCCTTCCCGGTCGTGGAGCCGCTCCAAAGAGAGTGAAGCGCCCCGCAACTCACTCTATCTCTCTAACACACACAATCCCGTAGCTTTACGCCTGCACACAGACACTCACACGCATCATCTCTGATCCAACCCCCCTGCACAACGTCCTTCAGGAGTATTAGCAGCATACCGGTGCCGAAGCTGATATTGTACGCTGTCAGCCTGCTGCACAAACTCATTTTCACAGATCCCCTCAGCATGGGAGGCCTGGTGCAAAAGCGAAGCTCAGATTATACGAAAAGCAAGGCTCCGTATACGGGAGCCTTAAACAAGCCCTGCACTGCACAAGCCCTGCGAATGTTTGCAGTAGTTCTGTCTTTCTTTACCATTTGGACTTGTAAAAAGTTATCTTAGGGGAAATGAGGGGACCTAAGTGGTCGGTAAACTTTTTCAGTGTGCACTGGGGCAGTGTGTGGCATGCAGGGGCAGCTGATCAATTGTGCAATCAGGTGGGAGATTGCCCTGAGGAGGTTGAGCCAGTAAGCCTTTAAGAGACTGAAAGAAAAGAAAAAAAAAAAACTGTACATTGCTGCAGCAAAAGAACCTCACATTGAGCTTTGCTGAGCCTTCCAGTGCATACGAGGCTATATCTCTCCATCATTTCTGAGGCATACGCGGACATTGTACAGTAGTATTATTGCATACATGCCAGTTCACCTGTGTATTTATAGCCTCCCAGTAGTATTGCATGAGCCGGCTCTTGCTCCATTTGCCGCAGAGCGTTCGCTGTGCAGGAGTGGTCGGCAGTAGTACTGAGCAGCCATTAAAGTGGGAGAGAGGCCTGACCCTCCGTCAGAACAGCCGAATCGAATACTCGCTGTAGGCATGCGTGGACCGCCACGCTGTTCTGTACCTACGCACAGATCCGAGGCCCCTTTGTTGTAGGGAGGCTCGGCCGGAGGGAGTGGGCGTGCTTGCTCTGATGGAAGAGTTAGATAGGGATCGCAGCCACTTAGCCAGTGATCAAAGGCTTCGAGTGTTATTTGCAAACTATGAAGCGGCTGGTCCTCTCTGACACGTTTGTACGAAATGTGTGAGCTCGGTTCGCATATATGCACATACAGTACTGTGCAAAACCACCCTTTCCTTTAATTTCCATTCAGTACAAGTTTTTCAGTGTTTAGTATAATATTAAATCAGTCAGTATTTTATTTGTACACTCCTTACTTTTGTGCACCGTTGCCACTTTCATTCCAAGTCTTCCATTCTTCCAATGTTAAAAGCAGTAAATTGCAGCTGTATCTTTGTAACAAAAGGTAAGATAATCCAATAGAATAAGGAAGGGAAACAACAAAGGAAAAACCGTGAAAAACAGGAGTTACTAAAAGATATACAGAAAATGGGACTCCTAAAAACTGTGCATAACCTGGTAGACCATTAAAACAGTCACCATCAGATAAACAGCACTTAAAGCTTTCATCTTTGAGAGAGAGGAGAAAACCAAGCTGCTTCAGATCTGAAAACATCCACAGATGTTTCTGTCCATCCTTCCACTGTGAGAAAACGACTCAGCGCTTGGGTCTGAAAGGATGTGTAGCTGTCAAGAAGAACCTCACTGAGAAAAGGAGATGGACAAAAAAAAGAAAAACATGTCCAATAGAGCACTGAAACTCAATATCAGAATCAGAATCAAGCTTTATTGGCCAGGTTTGCTTACACATACAAGGAATTTGGTTTTGGTTGCAGGAGCTCACAGTGCACAGTATCAGACAAACACTTTACAGTAGTAAATAAGAATAAAAATAAATTAAAATAAAATAGGATGTGGGCGGCACGGTGGCGCAGTGGGTAGCGCTGTCACCTCACAGCAAGAAGGGCCTGGGTTCGATTCCCGGCCGGGCGGCCAGGGTCATTTCTGTGTGGAGTTTGCCTGTTCTCCCCGTGTCTGCGTGGGTTTCTTCCGGGTACTCCGGTTTCCTCCCACAGTCCAAAGACGTGCAGTCAGGCTGTTTGGACATGCTAAAATTGCCCCTAGGTGTGTGTGTGTGAATGTGTATGTCTGTCTGTCTGCCCTGCGATGGACTGGTGACCTGTCCAGGGTGTATCCTGCCTTCTGCCCAATGACAGCTGGGATAGGCTCCAGCGACCCAGAAGGATAAGCGGTTTGGATGATGTATGTATGTATAAAATCGAATGTGCATTCCTACCACACTTTGACCATCACCGACACCATATGTGAGAATAATGGACTGATGAGTTTAAGTATTTGGTAATTTAATTGTTACGTGAAGTGTGAGAAGCAGAAAATTCAACCAATTTCTAAGACGTGCCTCCGGATTTCTTTGAAGAATTGAATGAAGTCCCCTGAAATGAATGGAAACTGTAATAAATAAAGGGCTGGACACTAAATACTGAAATCTTATTCATTGAGGCTTCTGTGTAATATATATTTAATATGTATATTATATGTTTTATGCTTGTTTTCACTAGACAAAAATGAATAACTTGTACTTAATGGCCATTTTGACTGGAAATTAAATGAAACAGACTTTTGCAGTTATGTGCATTTATGCAGACAAATACAGATGTACACATCTGTTGGGTAGTGAACTTAGTGGGTGAGGAAGACGCAGGCAGTGCTGTAGATGGCCATCTGACTGTGTTTAGTAAATGATTATACTCAATCATAATCCACTTTCTGTGCACATCATCTCAGGATTACTTGGACTTGAGATCGAGATGTTAAAAAGCCAGGCGAATTCTGTGCTTAATACATGAACTGGTCATTAAATCGTCTTCGCAGTCAAACATGCAGATGTTCCCTTTTTCAAACTGATTAGTCATTGAAATGTCTTTACTTTGGAATTACACGTTGTCAAAAAGTGATCTTTGCAGAGTTATCTGAGGTTTCTTTTGTCTTCCTCTCGCAGGCCTGTTCCATCGCGCAATCATCCAGAGTGGCTCAGCTCTGTCCAGCTGGGCCGTCAACTACCAGCCAGTGAAGTACACACGGCTGCTGGCTGAGAAGGTGGGCTGTAACGTCCTGGACACCATGGACATGGTGCACTGTCTGCGGAAGAAGAACGCCCGTGAACTGGTGGAGCAGGACATCCAGCCGGCAAGGTATCATGTGGCATTCGGCCCGGTTATCGATGGCGACGTGATCCCGGACGACCCTGAGATTTTGATGGAGCAGGGCGAGTTCCTTAACTATGACATCATGCTCGGCGTCAACCAGGGTGAGGGTCTGCGCTTCGTGGAGAACGTGGTGGACTCTGAGGACGGCGTCTCGGGCAACGACTTTGACTTCTCGGTGTCGGACTTCGTGGACAGCCTGTACGGCTACCCGGAGGGGAAGGACACCCTTCGAGAGACCATCAAGTTCATGTACACGGACTGGGCTGACCGAGACAACCCTGAGACGCGCCGTAAGACGCTGGTGGCACTGTTCACTGACCACCAGTGGGTGGAGCCCTCGGTGGTAACAGCAGACCTGCATGCCCGCTACGGCTCGCCCACTTACTTCTACGCCTTCTACCACCACTGCCAGAGCCTGATGAAGCCCGCCTGGTCTGATGCAGCGCATGGAGACGAGGTGCCCTACGTCTTCGGCATCCCCATGATCGGCCCCACCGACCTGTTCCCCTGCAACTTCTCCAAGAATGACATAATGCTCAGCGCTGTGGTCATGACCTACTGGACTAACTTTGCCAAGACAGGGTAAGTGCTGGCATTCCTGCAGGGCCAAATATCCTATTTTTGTCAGCCTACTTTTAATCAATGACCATTACCTTCAGTCAAGGACATTAATCAATGACCATGTGCACATGCGTCTGCTATATGTGTGAGAATGTAGCCTCCATCAGCATGTGAAAACGTGTAGAGCATGAATGGGACGAGGAGCGAAAAGAGAAAGTTATCAGGGAAGCGTATCACATTCTGGCAGTATCGATCATTGCACCTCTCCACAGTCGATCACTGGCTCCCCAGCTGACTTGACTTTTTTCTCCCTCTGTTTTTCCCCCTACTTGCTCGGCTCAATTTTGCCCAGAGCCACAAAGCATTATGGATTTGTATGAGGAGAGCTTGTAATCAGGTCTAACAACACAAATCTAATTTGACGACCAATGTTACTAGAGAAAAAATTGATTGGTCATGCCTCTGCTTGTGTAAATTTTGCTGTTTTGCCATTCACAATGAAATGACACTGCCTGACATTTATAAATCATTCTCCAAGTGCTGAGAGCACAAAAAACAGCACAGTGGATATAAGATAGAATAGAAATGCTAATGCTGAAGCATTAGAGCTTGACTTTCTGCCGGGTTGCCAAAAATTCTGCAAAGGACTTGGAAAAACCCCTCAGACAAACATCTGTCTGCGCAAAGTCGGAGAGCTTTGGGGCACTCCGCGTTTTGTATATTAATTTCAGATGCTGTCCATGAGGGTAGCATCTTGAGCAGTGTATTTTCGCAGCAGAGGACATAACGTCTCCTCCATGGTTTCCTCCGAGGGCTTCTCAAATGCTTTGAACGTGCACAATACTGCTTGTCCAATAAAAATAATCCCAGGGATGATCCACCCTTGAACTTTTGACCTTCACATCCTATTAGCCATTTGGTACAGTCCATCCATGCACCCTGCACAGAGCTTGCCCATGTTACGTAAACAGCACATTCCTTCAAAATCTCACTTATCTAATGGCCTGTCTTTAAATCAGCATGGCTGTCTGGCATTGAGTCGATGCCCGGCACTGGTGGCACACACTCGGGGCCGGCAGCTTTTGATAGCACTGGGCCGCAGAGTTGTCCCATTGCAGTGGCATTATTGTGGACGAGGGGATTATATGTGGTCTAGCGGCGGGCAGCCGAGCTCAGAGAGCACCAAGGATTAGATGCCAGGATAATGGAGAAGCCCGAGAGCTGTTCAAAGGGTAATTTAGCACAGCTGTGGGGAAGGACCCTACCACTGTAGAGGCGTAGGGGAGGGCAGGGTAAATCCCCATCTTAGTATATAAACAAACTCAACTCACGATGACCTCTGGCTCGACATTGCCCACTCCCTGGCCAGACCCAGCTTTGTGACGTGACCCCACCGGGGCAGCCCTTGTTTGTCCCCTTCCCTTCTAACCCCACACGCAGATGGCCATACCTCAAGATCGTCACTATCGGCGGAGCCGTGCACTCCACAGCTGTTTCATAATGAGATGACCCAGATCGCACTTCCTGCCATCTCTCTAAATCGGATACGTGTACTACATTATTTTGAGCCCGTTCCAGTGCATGTCAACAGCGTGTATCATTTCCCAAAGCTAAATTCTACTTTCTGCTTCATGCTCCTTACAAGCGTCCATGTTACTTGAATCATCGCGGTAGCAAAAGAGCATGAAAATTCCCATTTGCAGCAGAAGATACCGCATTTGACAGACGAGTAGGGCAGGCACAGTAACAGATCGACCCACCAGATGCTAGACTCTTATCTTTATGGACCCTCGGTAGGAGAAAGAAATATGTTCAATTTATATACATGATGGATTCCTCTAATGGAGGCAAATAGGCTGTAGTCCTTTTTCTTCTGCTTATAATTCATCCATGCGGTGCTTGTGCACGTTTTCTCTCACAGTTACATCTTGCTTTTTTTTCCTCTTCTTCCAACCCCACATTTAGCCTTGAGATAAAAACCTCCGCTCTCTTATGCTCCTATAGAGCTGGTAGTGTTACCACTCTTTTGGCATCCGGCTGTTTCTTCAATATTCTTTTATGCCATCGTTCGTTCCCTTTCTTTTGCCTGCAGTCAAACACTACCCATGCTGTGCTGAGCCAGGGTAGTTGGTAAGCGAAACACTGGGTGCTCGGCTTTCTTCTCCTTTTGTCTGTCTCTTTTCTCTCGATCCCTACTCATGTTTTTTTGGATCTAGTGCTTTCTTTGAATCTTGAGCCTCGCTGAGGTGAGCCCAAATAACACTTTTTGAAATGCATGGAGATCTGGCTATCGTTTACGGGACTGAACTTCTCTGCTAGTGCGCAAATGTTACCCCCCTTTGGTTTAATCAAAAATGATCAACAATTTAAATGAGATCTAACTGAAACTGATTTTCGGCTTGACCTTAATCTTTCATCGATTTGACTCCAGTAATTTATTGATTGGAATAATCTCATAAAATCAGATTATCTCGCTTTTGCCTTGCTGGAGATTTGATTACCGATACCTTCATTTAACGGTGCAACACTCTCTTTATCGGTCTTATACAATGTTAAAATGGTCTCTTTCACATGACGTAAGGTTTACTACTGGTGTGTGGGTCAGAAAAGAAGGAAGGCTGGTAAAAACCAAGGCTAAAGGCCTTAGACAAGTCACTGCTGCATATTAATGAGTGGTTTTTCCCAAGCTATTACACTCCAACAAAGAGCAGAAGGCACTCCAACGTCAGTTGACCCCATTACACAAGGCCAGCCCGTTCTTTCCCAGGATTGGAGCTAATTACATTCCTCATCCGCTGGCTTTGTCTCACCTGAGGCTACTGCCAGTCCCATTGCAAATTAAAAGGGGTTATGTATGGTTTGTGTAAGAGGCCTTTCTCTCTGTCCTCACTACCCATAGAGTTACCAGCAATTGATAGGAGAGCTGCCGCCAATATGCTAATTGCCTTTAGAGAAAGTGGAAAAGTGGCGTGGCTTGTTAAGGGACTTGTATGCCATTGATTGGGAGGCCATGCTGTAACCAGAATGCAATAAGGTTGGGGTGAGATCAGCCCTGCATGGGGAGTGTCGAGGGCTGGGCAGGCGTGAAGATACATGGGAGCCGTCACTCACCTAATTTGATCAATCAATAAAGGCCATAATGAAGAGCGGACAAGATCCAGCAGCTGTCCTCTGGCAGTCTCCCCCATCCTTCAGCTTGCTCTCTGTTGCAGTAAATAGACCAGCTACGAGCAGCAGCTAAAGGGATAGATCCGGGAAATATGTCTTGGACACAGGAATTTTCCACTTACTTTGAAAGCTTTCAAAGGGCTGTAAGCAGCTAAAACTGCTCGAGGAGTACGTATCAGAGCTCAGGTCCTACAAACAGAATACTGTAGTGTTGTCACTCCCACTCTGACACACTATTTCCATTGACATGAAAGCACTCAGATATCTGGAAGTCATGGTGACATTCCTTTCGAACAAGAGGCATACTGTGAGCAGAGGAATGGCAAGGACTTTCTTTTGTGACGGTAGAGTTTAAACGTTTGCTCCGTCAGCTGCGCAGATGTTTCCAAGTTCCTTCTCAAAGTCACGCGGTGTGTGTCTTGTTGCAGAGGCCTATGTCTTGTTCTGACCTTGTGAAAGCAGAGAGTACCTGCTTCTGTGCTGCTTCTTTCAAAAGCAAAGGCAGCTGTGCCTAGACCTTACAGTATCACTGAGGATACAGTATGTAGGGAGTAGCTTTATTTATCAAATATGCCTGAAGGCTGTTCTTATGTACAGAACAATATTAACAGCTTGGATGTAGAGAACATTATACCAGCTAGAGTTAACATCAGTGCCACCAGGTTGGTGCAGTGCCATAGTTTTAATTAAGCGGCTAAACCTGCCAAAGCGTTCAAAGACCTCGCGGTGGAAGAGATTCTTGCGTGATGCCTCTGGGTCTTTGAATGTGTCTTTTCAGATTTGGAGATGCTTGGCTCCACGGTCATTCGAGCGCTCTAAAGTAAAGCAGGATGAATGCACAATGGGGCCACATTTAATTGTATTTGACTCTTGCACCATCTCGCATTCATTTGATCTGGCCGACTGGTGCTGGCACTCAAGGCAGCCGGAAGAACTTCTTAGCCATCTACAGTTGTAATTTCTAACATGCCCTGTGCTTATTAGAATCCTGCAGTCCATCATTTTGAGCGTTCCAGACTGTAAGATGAGTCATTTTGCACTCACATTTCTCCCCCAAGTTGAAGTATCATGGCCAGCTTGTCAAAGCCTCTCAGCTCGCCTTGTCACACAGGATGAGTTGTCCGTCCACAGGGACCTGCGTAACGCTGTGCGCTGTGGCTCAGGTTTGACCGAGGTCCCCTGGGGTCACCCTGTGGTCACCTTCCGAAGCCGTATTTTAGCAGACGCGGTCATGGTGTAGCATCCGAGGAAATCCGAGGATGTCATTAAAAGGGCGGCATTTGTGAGTGGAATAATCTCTTGCGCTACGGCCCTCGCAGCTGACTCCGATCCAGCTTAAGTGGGAGGTCTAACAGGATGCTATCAGCTAATGCAGCGCCTCGCTCCACTCACACACATACACATGTACACTCACCCTCACGCGCTCCCCATGCCGCTACAGTCTGAGGGCTGAGGGTGAGCACGCTTCCAGCTTTAGCTCAGTCACTAGCAAAAAATATGAGCGGTCTGTTATCGATGCTGCCGCAATTACCTGGCATGTGTGCGCACGTAATTAGATAAGGTGTGCACGCTGTTTCCTAATGCCGCAAATCATATTAGCCCATTGATTTGCTGGAGTGACTCTGAATTATTCATTTTCATCCACAATGCTACTCTAAAATGAGATCCACGCAGCAAAGACCCCACTTGGGAAAAAAGAACTCTACACTTAAACACTCCCTGCCTCTACATCTCACTGCAGATCTCCAGGCTGCTCTCCCCAAGCAACTGTCACGACAAGGACGTCACTGCTGACCCCATATCGGCAATCTCACGTCTCTGTGTGCATCGCAGTGCGCCAGCGTGTTCCGTCATGCAATCTCCCGGACTGATCGTTATGGGCGAGAATGCGCAAGGGTATATTGAGACGCCAGACTCTTCTATTAACCGAGATTGCCCCGGGTTCAGTGACTGTGGCTCAGGCGCGCAGGCTCTGCCTCAAGAATTCATAAAGTCGCCGGCGCCGCAGCCTCATTGATGTCCCGCTCTTTGGCATGTTGTTGCGCGGTGGAGGATCAATATGACCTTACCTCAGCCGCCTGCTCCTTTGAAACTTAATTACTGATATTCAGCTACAAAGTTATCATAGCCCGGCTGCCAATATTCATCGGGGATCATTACTAGCCTAATAAAACGGGTTATTTACGGGCTGCACCACTGACATCCTGCCTCACTGGGGGATTTCAGTTCAGCCGGCTTTATTTGCCTCTCCACTCCCAGAAGCGCTGACCTGAAAACGCAAAAAATTGACAGCAAGAAAAGAACTAGAAAGGAAAATGTGTTGTTTTCTTTGGCTTGGCTTTTCCCCTCACCTCTCTCTTTTGTGTTGCTGGGAGCAAACAGGTGCCCACAACACTGAGGAGCGAGAACTCCATTCCCTTGGACAGCGACAGAGATTAGTTATTCCTTAAAGCTGATTGAATGCTTAGCAGACTCATAGATTTCGTTGATTGAACTCCTAATGTGATCATGAGGGAGGCGAAGACGGAGTCTCGCATTCTGCTGCACTTCATGTCCACTCATAGTTGCTCTTGTGCAAGTCCGTTCCACTGACACTCTGGCTCCCTGACCACAAGGAGACAGCGATAGTTCTGGAATGCCATATGTTAATATAGTTGCTAAATCAGTAGAGCCTTGTTATGGGTATTGAGGGCTGCCTTGCACTCCAGAATGACTCAAGTGTGGATGGGGAAACACTGACCCCTGAAGGCAAGAAGGTGTTACTGTGTCCATCAGACTCGTCTGCCCGGCGTCCCCCCACCACCACCCAATGTTTTAGTGTCTTGATTAATATGGTCCACTTTCTATCACCGCACTCACTGTTAATGCACACCGCGCCGCTTCCCCAAAGCAATTAGTGGAGGGCCTGCGCCTGTGTTGTTTTATCCAAAACAAGTTGCTTCCTGAAGCGCATCTAAGCATGCTGATTTATTCATATGTATTTACTCTAAAAGCTTCGGTCCCGTTCTTCTTTTTTCATGGAGAGCAGTTGGAGATGTGGGCCCTGTTTCAACCCAGTAGACAAAAGAGACAGTTCATGGAGATATCATGCCAGGCAGTGCCAGAGAGACAAAGAAAAGCCAGGAAATGACACTGCTTTTAAAATATGTCCATGCACCCGCTGTGTAAAGGGCTAGGAGTTGCACTGATCTCTGAGATATGGATATGTTAATATGTGCAAATTTGGTTTGTTGGTTTGTTGTTATGCTCAGAAGGGTGATATTCAGGTTACTGCCTTGTGGGGCTCGAGGCGAGTTGTGCATCTGTGCATGTGAACACCTGTCAGGGGGAAAGGCAGCGCAGAACTCTGCCAAATAAAAAATGCTGTCAAACAGAGGTTGTGGCAAGTGATGGTGAGCTTCCGGACTGACTGAGGCTCTGCTGTTACCAAGCTGGCTTCGCACAGGGTGATTGTCAATGTCAAGAACTGGAAAACAAACCATCCACTGGAGATTTCACCTCTGTACACACTGATTTATTGCTTGTATATTTGCTGTTTTAATCTCCATTTTTGCTGTTTTTCAGTTTTTGACATAATTTGAAAATGCCTGTTGCTCTTTACATTGTCTGTAAATTTCATGAGGAATGGGCCAAAAGAAACAACTCAAAAAGACTTGGAAAAACGTCTGGTTCCATTGACTTACATTAACAGTAAAGTATGTTTTTTCCTTCCCCTGTAAAGTTACCATTTTTGAGATACAAAGTTTTCTTCCGACAACAGCGATATATTACCATATAACTGTACTGAACTTCAATATGTATAAAAAGAGGAAACACATATTCAGACCCTTTTTGTTTGTTTGAATTTGTACTTTTAAATGTAAACAAAAAAAGGTATATATTCATTGGCATGAAAAGAAATATGTTTAGAAAGCAAAATTGTTAAGGAAAAAAGTTTTGTCACCACAAATTGATAAAATTAGTACTTTGTTGCAAAGACGTTGTTGGTAATTACAGCTTCGAGACATCTGTGGCAAGAAGTAATTAGTTTTTTGCAGCATTGTGGTTCAATTTTGGCTCATTCCTCTGGACAAGCCATCTTCAGCTCCCCAAAGTTACGATGGTCCCTATGATGGACTCACAATTTCAAAATCCTCTTTACATTTTCAGTGGGATTCACGTCAGGATATTGGGTAGGCCATGCAAGCACCTCCCCTTCTTTTTTAGAAACCAGTCTTAAGTTATTTTTGGAGTTGTTGTCCATCTTCTTCCCAGATTTAGTTTCTTGATTGAAAGTAAAACTCTATTCTAATACATCCCTGTTCATCACATCATATCATGGTGCTCCCACCTCTGTACTTCACTGAGGGTGTGGTTTTCCTGGGATCATACTCACAACCCTTCTTTCACTAAACACTCATGTGAGTGGGGAGTCGGAACAGAGATGATCGTGGTTCAGTTGCTTATTGCTTATTGTTCTCTGTGTAGCTGTTGTTTCTTCTGCTTTCAGGTCATCCTGTAACTCTTCGCGAGTGACCGCTAGCTTCATTTTTACCTCCGTTATCGTTTGTCTGAGATCGCATTGTGAAATATTGCACAGTGTACCTGCATATTATCAAACCACTGATAGAGATGTTTAAGGTCTTTGTTATGGCTCTGTAGCTTTTTCCATTCAAGTGCTGTTTAATGATGTCCCTGAGAACTTTAGGGAAGCTCCTTTATCTTTGCCTAGTTGCTACCTGTTACATGAAATCTGACTGCAAGCGCAATTTGTACGAGAACATCTTTTTTTTTTGCAGTATTAACATCTACAACTCTCTCTCTCTCTCTGTCTCTACATGTGTGTGTGTGTGTGTATATATATATATATATATATATATATATATACTTATGAATATATATTTTGTTTATTCATAATTTTGTTTCATATGTGTAAATTTGAAGTGGATATATGCAACAAAATCATATTCAATAACAAAAAGTACCTGAATACTTGTTTCCCCTTACTGCATAATTGTATCTTAAACGCAAACTACAAATCTTCATTATTTAGTGTATTTTATCATTTGAATTTGTTTTGACACCTGCAATAGTGCCGGCCCGATATGAAAATTTTGCCACCAATATCAGTTTTAGAAAGTTAAAAATTTTCATTTGATCTTTCTTATTGGTCAGATTAATCAGACTGCAGTAGTTTTAGTTAAACAGTGCTTTTCTATCTGATTTGATTGTGCATTTTCTGTGAAAATCTTTCACATAAGATTGTCAGTTCTCATTTTCTAAATTCAATTGAAATGAACTATGAAAAGTCTTGTAGTGCCAGAGATTCTTAGCGGTTTTGTTAGTTGCTGATTCTCATTACGCTGTAACTGAGAAACTGAAATTGATTTTTCTCTTTCTTTGTTTTTTTATCCACAGAGATCCCAATAAGCCGGTGCCTCAGGACACCAAATTCATCCACACGAAAGCCAACCGCTTTGAGGAGGTGGCCTGGTCCAAGTACAACCCGCAGGACCAGCTGTACCTGCACATTGGGCTGAAGCCGCGAGTGCGCGACCACTACCGCGCCACTAAGGTAGCCTTCTGGAAGCACCTCGTACCCCACCTGTACAACCTGCATGACATGTTCCACTACACATCCACCACCACCAAAGTGCCGCCACCTGAGACCACGCAGAACTCCCTGTCTACCAAGCGGCCCAACGGGAAGGCGTGGCCCTTCAATACGAAGCGGCCACCCATGTCTCCGGCATACAACAGCGAGAGCGGCAAGGAGCAGTGGAACGGCGGTGAAGAGCCTGGCCCACTGGTGGTTGAGAACCCGCGCGACTACTCCACCGAGCTGAGCGTCACTATCGCTGTCGGTGCCTCTCTGCTGTTCCTCAATGTGCTGGCTTTCGCCGCCCTGTACTACCGCAAGGACAAGCGCCGGCAGGAGCAGCAGCCTCAGTCCAGCCCTCCCAGGACCTCTAACCCAGCTTCGTCCAACGATGTGGGCCGCCACGCGCCTGAGGAGGAGATCATGTCGCTTCAGGTCAACCAGACGCACCACGAGTGTGACGCTGGGCCAGGCGGGGACACTCTGCGACTGGCCTCGCTACCCGACTACGCCCTGACGCTGCGGCGCTCGCCTGACGACATCCCGCTCATGACGCCCAACACCATCACCATGATCCCCAACTCGCTGGTGGGCATGCCCAACCTGCACCCTTACAACACCTTTACCGCTGGCTTCAACTCCACCGGCCTGCCCCACTCGCACTCCACTACCCGGGTATAGCTTTAAGGAGGCCCGTCTAAGCGTCGGGGAGTGGGAGCGAGTCTTTGGTTTTATAGGAATATACCCAGGGGGATTACGGAGAAGTCTAAAAACACGAACCGTTTGAATAGACTTGAACGGGAGGGTCCTGGCCGCGCTCTCCGGATGCCGAGTGGTTGCAGACCTGCCAAACCGTAAACTACTCCATCTTCCCCAGCAGTGGGACGAGCATTTCAAGCAGTATTTTTTTCTAATGATCATTTTAAAAATGGGGGTGGGGAACGCCTTTTTAAGAAGACTGGGGAGATATCAACACTTTTTTCTTGAATAATTAACAAAAATGAAAAAGAAAAGTGCTTTTTATTTCCCATTTCAGTCTCTTGTGGGAAAACATTTCAAAACAATGGCCTCTGAGATGACATTTGCATAATATTTGTGTTGCTTTTTTTTTTTTGTTTTCTTTTCAATGCCTTACTGAAAGCTTCGTTTTTTTTTTTCCTACTTTGTATCTTTCACTGCGTGGAACGTATTTGCCATAAACGACTAGATTCTTGAAAACACGAGAGACGAATATAGAAAACGCATAGAGAATTGAAGCAATCCGAACATGTTTTGAGTTGCATATCCTCTTACATGGTTTTATGTTTTTTTCTAATTTCCAGTGCTAAATATTTGTCTGATACAGACTCTGCCACGAGACAAGACTAGAGATACAGACTTTACTGTGATTGTTTTGTTAAGCGGAAAGTGCATCTTTTTTCAACAAATTTATCAACTATCAACTACCGAATCTGATTTTGATGAAATGCACATGTACACACAATACTGGGAACACCTGTTTGTTAGCGTGTGCGCGTCTGTGTGAGTGAGAACAGCGTGCCTGTGGTTAGAATACCTGAGAACGAGTGTATGGGTGTATCTGAGAGAGATGCTTGCGTGTGCACATGCCTACATTTGCCCTGTTTTTGTTGAACACTTTGTGTGGGGGGGTGGGAAAGGGAGGGCTTCTTTGCCATGTTGTTGATTTCGTTCACCACAGGTAGTGTTTCAGCTGCGTCTCTGGTCGTCTGTCTTTGCGAAATAGCACTTTTTTTTTGTTCTTTTAAGGAAAAAAATTATATATGTCTAATTTTGCTTAAGAATTACAAAAATAAATCTATTATTTTACATGTAAAAGAAAAAAAAAATAGCTAAAGATTCAACTCAACTAACTGACATGATTCCATTGACTTTGTAAGAGTTTCTCCCAGCAGGAGACGGTGGCCTGTTTACACTGAATAACCTTATTTCGGTGTAGACCTGTGTTTCTTTAAATATATATATAAATATATATATATATATATATATATAAATATTGGCATACATACATATATGTATAGGGCTTTTATGAAGATTATACTCCCATTGATCTAAACGTGTAAATGACTACTATTAGATTGAAAGCACCAATATCCAGAAGACAGAGCGAATAGTGTTTGTCCTAGTCTAATTCTCAACACCATAATCTGAAGCCACACCAAGTGTCTTTTTAATAGCTCTATATGTATATTTATGTATAAATATATTTAATATTTATTTATGTATACCAGATGTATACATGCTGATTGTGCCATGTGCCAAAATTAAACCATAAAACTGGAGAAGACATGTTTGCAAAAAAACATTATTTCTCATGCAAGTTTCCTCCAATTTATTCTGATTGATTTGGAATTTTGAACCTGTTAATACGATTCTGTTGGGTTCTGGTCGAATCATCAAACGCAATCTGTTCATGCAGTCGCATGCTGTTCTTTTCACATTGCGCTAACAGAAGAAAACAACTTGGCAGCTTTGCCAACAAAGAAGAAGCAACTGAAAAAATGCGGTGGTTCAAAGGTGGAAATTTGGATGTGAGACATGCTCTTATGTGGGTCAGTGGTTTTCCTCATTTTAATCTACTTGCTAGTCGATTGCGGATGTGTGGGGTAAAAGCGGTCCGACCCAGCGAGTGCAGCGAGCTCGGCTTTGGCCAAAGTGTTCTCAGCCAGTAAGGCACTTGTCTTCATTGACCTTAATCAACCACCTCCTGCTCTTCATCACAATTGCTCTTGAATACTCTTTAGCCCCCTACTCCCCCAGCCCAGCAGAATGACAAGGATATCTATGCTAAAGGTTGTCTGCAGTCTCCACAGAAAAGTCTCCTCACATTAGTGTCTCTGCGCTGCTCGCTGTGTATTTGGAAGGTCGTAGTAGCCCAGTTTTATCTCTCGTTTGAGCTGAAACTCGACTCAGCTAAGCTGAAGTGACTCTTGATGATGCCATTTAGGCCTAATGAATAAATACTGCATTTGCCCATTAGTCCTGATTGGTCTGTGGAAGAAAGTTATGAGTCATCAGATTTTGAAGTTGGAGAAGGCTTGAATTAGGCCTGAATGAACCTCCAGAGGAAGGAACATTCAAGCACTCACAAGGCAAACCTCTAGGCAACGATCTGATTCACAGAGCCTGTTGACATTGGTTTAATAGCCGCCGTCTGTAATTCTGCTAACCGAGACGTTCATGTAAAGGGCTCAAAAAGAAGCATCAACCAGTCATGTCTTCTTACGGCGGTGAGGAGCCTGGCCCACTGGTGGTGGAGAACCCACGCGACTACTCCACCGAGCTGAGCGTCACTAATGCCGTCGGTGCCTCTCTGCTGTTCCTCAATGTGCTGGCTTTCGCCGCCCTGTACTACCGCAAGGACAAGCACCGGCAGGAGCAGCAGCCTCAGTCCAGCCCTCCCAGGGCCTCTAACCCAGCTTCGTCCAGCGACGTGGGCCACCACACGCCCGAGGAGGAGATCATGTCGCTTCAGGTCAACCAGACGCACCACGAGTGTAAATGGCATCATCAAGAGTCACTCAAAAGGCAAACCTCTGGGCAACGATCTGAGAGTTAGATTCACAGAGACTCTTGTAATTGGTTTAATAGCCGTCGTCTGTAATTCTGCTAACCGAGACGTTCATGTAAAGGCCTCAAAAGGAAGCATCAACCAGTCATGTCTCCTCACCAGCTGAGACATGGCAGGTGGCCAATTAGAATGTAGCTCACCTCCGGGCTCCTCCTCCGTCTCATCACAATACGGGGATTAGATGCTTCATTGAATTCGAATACCCTTTCTCGATCAAGTATTTAAGCAAGCAGCGGTTGGTCGGAGCTCAGAGGTCAAACTCCTCTCCAGAATCAATATCGTACTCTGCATGACCACTGCTCCCTCATAATTAATCATTTCAGATCACTAGAAATGGAACAGTCTCTTCCCCGACTGATCAGGAGCTGCCAGTTTAACATGAAAATGAATCAGTGTTCTTGGTATCCGCAGGTCTGTTAGCGGTAACAGCTTTACCCCCCTGAATTCTCTGGTGAAGTCTTCATTTTTCTCATTTGTGGTGTGGATATTTTTAGTTCCTGTCCACACATTCCAGGCAAATCTCAGTCGTGTAGCTCGCCTGCTAAGAACGATGCTGAGCCTCACTGGACACGAGGGCTGGCAACGCATGCTGGCTGCCAATATAAAAAATGCTATCGTCTTCAAATACTCCCTAACTGGATTACACTGTTGGCTCACTTTCTCACTTCCAAGGCATGAAAGTATAGAAGATGTGATTTTCTTTTTTTTATTTAGTTTCACTGATTACATTAAAACTAGACATGCATCTCTAACCTGGAGTAGATCATTTTAAGGCTAGCTTCATGCAGACATTAACCCTTTTAACATTAACCATAAAATGTACTTTCGGCCTGTTTTAGAGGTCCCTTACTTTAGCTATGCATTTTCTTTAATACAATCAAAGGAATGTATTTCAATAGAAATGTTCATGATTTACAAAAATGGAAGCAAACTGGATTTTCACCTTTAGAGGTGAGCAAGCAAATCAATATTTATTGTGTTTAAGTGCTCTTTGTTGCTACAGTAGTACGTGCTTTTTCAGTGTCAAGCAATCTGCAGTTGGGCTTGTTTTTTCCAGCAGGGAGTTCTCACACTTTCCCTTTTAATTCCTTATTGCTCACTAGCAGCTCAACACAGACACAGCATTGCACACAAAGAGCCACAAAATAAGCTTTATAGATTATGCTAAATAAAAATATCTGGGTCGAATATCATCCAGCCAGCAGAGCGGCCACTCGGGTGCCAGGGCCATAACTAGGATGAAAATTTTTAGTGAGGTTCATTTTGCAGAAATGTGACCTACATCTCAAGGTGAATAAACTGCCGAATATGAGTGTTACACCAATCGTAAGTTTCTCCTTTTTTGCCAAATGATTGTTCCTTTTTTTATCCATCCATAACTGTTATGCATCTTTTCCTTTCATTTGTTCCTTCCCCATCCCTCCATTCTTCCATGAACTGCTATTACTGTTCCATAAACTGAATTTACTCCAGCTGCCCAGCTGCAGTCCATTTAATTACTTATTTAACTAATTCTCTCTCTCTCTCTCTCTCTCTCTCTCTCTCTCTCTCTCTCTTTGCTTTCCTCTTTTGCATCTCTGTCTTCACTGATTACTGAAAAAGCACACATTAAACATGTGCTATAAAAGGTTGTCTGTACCAGCGAGCTAATGGGAAAGGCAACTACTCATACAGTTAACTTAGTCAGCCTAATTTAACTGCTGATTTCTCAATAACGTTAGTTACATGAAGCTATACCTTCACTATGCTCGTTAACAGTGAACTTTCTAAGGTTGTAGTATGTTCTGAGTAGGTAACACAACACAACAGTACAATACAACTTTAATTTCTCTTCTAATCGCCGATATATATCTGAATATGGAGCCTGTAGCATAACCTGAGCAGTTACTGGAGCTGACTAAAGCTTGATGATTTAGCCAGCAAATTTACGAGCAGCCCAGACACAAAATGAAATATTAAGGTTTGCATTTTACAATCTTAAAGTGTTAATTCTGCTCATAAACTCTCAGCTAGATACATTTTTACCACTGCGATGTTACACACCGACCAGGCGTAACATTATGACCACCTCCTTGTTTCTACGCTCATTATCCATTTTATCAGCTCCACTTACTATATAGGTGCACTTTGTAGTTCTACAGTTACAGACTGTAGTCCATCTGTTTCTCTGATACTTTGTTAGCCCCCTTTTACCCTGTTCTTCAGTGGTCAGGACCCCCATGGACCCTCACAGAGCAGGTACTATTTGGGTGGTGGATCATTCTCAGCACTGCAGTAACACTGACGTGGTGGTGGTGTGTTAGTGTGTGTTGCGCTGGTCTGAGTGGATCAGACACAGCAGTGCTGCTGGAGTTTTTAAACACCTCAGTGTCACTGCTGGACTGAGAATAGTCCACCACCCAAAAATATCCAGCCAACAGCGTCCTGTGGGCAGCATCCTGTGACCACTGATGAAGGAATAGAGGATGACCAACACAAACTGTGCAACAGCAGATAAGCTATCGTCTCTGACTTTACATCTACAAGGTGGACTGATAAGGTAGGAGTGTCTAATAGAGTGGACAGTGAGTGGACACAGTGTTTAAAAACTCCAGCTGCACACCTGAACATCTCAAGAAGTCAAAGTTACTCTGGTTCTCTGGGTGGTGTAGCAGCTGGAACCAGTCACTGCTCATTCTGTATTTATGTCGCTTTTATTAACACTGAATCTCTTAAAACTCTTCCTAATCCTTCTGAAACTACCCAGGTCCAGACCTCCATGTCCTCATAGCTAGTTACGTCCATGTCGGGTGCTATAAAAGTCAGCATCACTGCTGAATCTGTTGACCTCAAGAAAAGGGCAGTTCATTAGTTTATTAGTTGCATCAGGTGTATTGGTAACAGAGGATGCTCTAAAATGTGCAAGTACTCCAGGACCAAAACAGAGAACCTGAATTAGAATTTATTACACTGTGCATTTCTAATTCTAATTCCTCTCCTTACAGACATGAGCGCTATGAAAGCCTTGCTTTCTACTATGGGTTATTCTTTTATATGTGTATAACGCTCTGTAATGCTGTAGTAGTGATATGCATGACTACATCCTATTACAGTAACAACACATGGGTCATTCTATAGAAACGTCCATTTTTGCGTCCTCAGCATTTACACATATATTACACTTGAAAAACGTTAGGGTTACAATTTATTTATATTTTAAAAATAAAACAATAAGTTATTTTAACAATTGCACCTTCTTGAGCCTCAATTTAGCAATATTGGTTTTTAAATCAATTATCTAGAATTCCAAGCACCACAGAAGAGCTCGTCCTCACAGTCATGTGTGAAGGCTGAGGCCATATTTTGACGTAAAAAGCATGTTTTTCGTATTTTAACTACAATAATCTATACATGACTATTCAATATATAAATTAAATGACAAAGAAAACAAAAGCCAAATAAATATTATAAAATATATAATGAAAGTTGCTGTCCCCAGGAGTCGTGTCACTGGTGTTACTGCGTAACAAAAAATCTCTTATTTTGAAATAAAGGCACACCGATGACATCACTTGACTTCCTTTTACCTGTTTTCTGAGGATCTATGAAGAAAAGCTCATGGTGAGTCCACTGTGTCTTTCAGTTATCAGAGATTTTCTCATTTAGCTCATGATTTCATATGAAGCTTTTAGCTGAAGTCACCGGTGTGACCGACTTTATTCTGAGGTAACTGTGAA